AGTTTATGCCCAAGGAGATCTGCCTTTTTCAGAATCGGGCTCGAGTGTGAGCAATCACTAAAAACTTTTCCTTTAAAAGAAATGAAGGAGTTTTCTAAGCCTCCTGCTATGTTTGCTGCAACTCAGATACTGCAGGCTGTGAACCAGATTGTGCCACTCTTATATAGGTCAAACAGTACCTTGCCTACACAGTGGGAGACTGTCTCTTAAAAGTGGAGCTCAAGGTAAATATAAACTGCACTGTCTTGTCTGCACAGTGCAGGATAAGGACACATCGTACACCCTGTCTAACCCATGATCCAAATGTATTTGGAAGCTGTTGCTGCTTGTTAGGAAGCATAGAGTACTGTTGGTCCAGAACCTGTATTGTTGAGGTTCATGTTTTTTTCATTTAATATATGATGCCTGCAAGTGTACAAGGGAAAATAACAGGCAAAATTTCCTGTCAGTGAAATCCTGCTCTTTGTCCAGCCTAGTACGGAGTTCTTCCTCTTGTCATAAAAAGCACTGTTTTTTTTTAGCTAGGCTGTATTTATTACTTTTTATAACTTAACTGATTTCTGTAGTCAGATCATCATTTTTACAGTGGGTATAAGCCACCATTTCTTGAGTCTTGTATAGTAATTCACTTCTCTGGTGCTTTAAGAGATCCCATACGGGCAAGAAAGACAAACACTGACTTGGTAGCCTTTAAGAGTTGCTCTGCATGAATGTAAATAGCATGGGAAGAACAAAGAAAACCAGCTCCTGTGTTTTGTATTCCTTGAGGACTCATGGTGGTTCTTAACAAAGAGGGAAAGAAACCTGCTCGTGACAGGACACTGAATTCTCTATCCAGGAAAGCATTCCTGTCCCCAGCTCCCAGCACATGCCCTGAAAATGTCACTCACAACCAGCTTTATGACTTTAACATCCAAACGTTTCAGTTCCTTTTAAAGGTAATCAAATTTGTGACTCCCTATTCTCATTTCAGATTTGTCTTCCTTAGTTTTATTAAGGTTTTGATTTCTTGACATGTTCTTCATTTTTTCATTAAGGTTTTCATTACTGTCTGAGTTGCTTTTAAAACCCAGGATGGAGAAATACTTCCCTTGCCTTAAGAGCTTTTGCCCTGTAAGATTTTGTCTTAACAGATACCTGAGATGATGCTTAGCTGCAGGTTAGCAAGCCAGGGGCCAACACTCATGTTTTGGTTACTTCAGTATAAACGTGGGGTCTTTTGCTTCTCTTCTGAGACTATTTAAAAAAAAAGTGTGCAATGCCAGCAGCTCTCGAACCACAGATAAAGTCTTTCCCCTTATCTCAATGAAATACCACTTCATACTAAATCTGTCACTTGGCACATCCTTGCTGCCCTCTCTCCACAGTGCATCCAGGATGATAGGCTTTGTGATTAAGTGGAAAAAGAGTAGTCTCGTCTCACCTTAGAGAATGGGAGTGAAAATAGGCTCAGTGTGGAACATGCTTCTGAAACTGTGTATTTTTCATCTCTCTACTGGGGCTGTTCTATAAGAAAGGAGATGCCTCGGGTTTTATTGCATACACATGTGCACTCTTTGTATTGTTTTAATTTCAAGGTGATGTAGCATACGTAAAACAAGATGGTTATGAGGTGCTCAGCTGGTTTCCCAAGAAGCATGATAAGCATTGGAGTTGCTGTCTGCCCTCATGCAAAAACGTGAATCTCTTTTTCAGGTTCAGTCAAATTTGAACTTAAGTTCATAAAAGCTTAATGAAAACAGGCAGCTGGGTAAAGAGGATAACTGTGTTTTTGTTGAGCCCTGTCTTTATCGTGTACCAGGGAATCCATCTGGGGAACAGCTCTTATCATGGCTTCAGAAGCAGGGAAAGCTTTGATCAGTGCTTGCTGCCAGAGAAGCCAAGTGCACTACACAACACAGGGTTCATTACTGTGCTGTAAATACATCTCCTGTAATAGCCTCATTGCAGTCTGCGATGTGAGCATAACCTCGGCCAGGGCACTGGCTTGGCTCCTGCAGACACCCACTCAGAAAGGATCAAGATGCTGCGCAAAATAGGCTGGTCCCCGTGTGCTTCTGTTCATGGGAGAGTCTGTGGGAAAGGCACGGCTAGTGCTTTGTTTTATACTCAGGCTAGCTGGTGATCTATAAAAACTGCTCTTAAAAAAAAAAAACACTAGTGCCCCAGCTTCCTCCCTCTCTGTACATGAGGAAGCACTCAGGCAGAAGGGCAATCCTTAAATTCATAGGGAGAGGACCCGCTGCAAGCACTCCTGCTCCAAGGAGAGCTGCTCACGCAGATGCAATCCTGCCAGCTTCTGCTGTGCTACGAGGACACTATTTTACCTCCGCTTCTAATGGAAAGGATAAAGTGGAATAGTAATAATGGGACTGATAAATGAAAGGAAAACTGTAACCACATAATTATGTCAGAATCAACTAACAGCACTGAAAAGAGAATGAAACTGCATTATGCAGATAGATGTAACAGAATACTATTAGTGAGTCCTTTGCAATGGCATGCCTGGCAATTAACCGAGCAGTATTGGCAGTGCACAATGAAAACAGTGATAATGTATAGTTAAGAATGTTTGGAGACAAACAGTGCATAGAGTAGAGGGACAGCCTAGAAATGAATACAGGAGTGTCGTCAAAGATAACAGCATACAGGGGAAAAACCAAAGATGTTACTCCAAATAGACTGCTTGACTAGGATGTTGGGCATAGTTTGGAGTAATTCATATTTATCATAAAAATTAATTTACTGGCTTATCCATAAATGAAAGGCTGCAGTGCAGCAAGTGGTATTTTCCAAATATTCACAAATTTCCGGTTGTGTGGGCTAATGGAAGAATTCCATATTTTTTTCTGAATTAAAGAAGCTCACAGAAATATTCTGATTTAGACAGTAAGAATAGTAGGTAATGTGCCTGTAGTTGCCCCTATTCAGTAAATACTTGGGAATGAGATCGCTCAGTTGTATATTCTTATGTATGTGGCATTTCCAGGTGGGGGCCTTGAAGAAGGGATAACCCATCGAGTTTCTCACTGAAGTATTGGGATTTGTCGTTTCCTCTAATCCACCATAGAGAGTGAAGATTCAGTTCTATCCTTTGCTCTGCCCACTCTTGCAGAGCAGTTCTCCTCTGCAGTCAGGGAGAATTGCACAGGAACAAGCTCAGAGATAACATCAGTGGGATTGAGTTTACACAGACTTTACATAAAGTTACGCTCCACCAGGAACCACTCCATGTGACTGTGGACATCTAAGGGAATACAACCAGTGGGGATTTTTTTGATGTCAACGGATGAACATGCTGGAGAGTTTGTACTCCCCTTATTGTTTTCATCATGCCAGGCAGACTTCTGAGACATGCTACAAAGACAGCTTGCTTGCAGGAAACCAGCATGTTACACAGTTATCCTACATACTGTTTTCCACCAGATGCATGCAGATATTCTTCTCGTTTTATTTTTGGAGATGGCAGAACTAGTGCGAAATGCAGCTAACGAGAGGTCAGTAGCGTTTGTGCCCAAAGCAGTGCCTTCCTGAGCTACTATAAAGCAAAGGAAGGGAGAGTGTGTACGTGGTTACACTTTAATTACAGAAGTCAGAAAATATGTTTATAAATGAAATTCTGTCAACAACTTAAGTACTCGGGTTGCAATTAATGAAATCTCTGCCAACACAAGATTTATGATGACCAGGAGACACGGTTTTACTTAAATAGAGAATTGAAACTTGTGTCCACAGAAGGCTAAAGCATTTAATTGTACTATGATGTCTGTATTTACTTGGGCTGTTTTTCCTCATGCTTTATATGCGGAAATGTTAATGGTTACAGAGTACTCTTCATGAGAGAAGAGTATAATTATCTCCATTTTCACATGTGAAGAGACTGACACCCAGAAATTTGGAGTACCTTAGGTGAGACAGCAATTCCATTCCATTGCAGTGGGGAACTTAAGAACCTTTTTGTGTCCTAACAGGGTTCCGTATTTACTGTATCATGCTGGATTTAGTAGCACAGTACTTTAGCAACTGATAGTATTAAATACAAGGTTTCTTTTATTTGAAGCTGGAGGATCATACTCCTTCTTCACCAGAGAAATAACTTCAGTCCAATTGTGTTTTATTTATTCTGTCAGGACATGCAGTTCTGACATGCACTGAACATACAAACCCTGTTACTGTTTTTACCTGCTCTTGACTTTGAAGATTTAACTTTTGTGTTTGCCTTTAAAAGAGTGTCATTAGGAATATTCTTGTAGTCGACACTGTGCCCTTGTGGCCAAGAAGGCCAATGGCATCCTGGGGTGTATTAGAAGGGGGGTGGTTAGTAGGTCGAGAGAGGTCCTCCTTCCCCTCTACTCTGCCCTGGTGAGACCTCATCTGGAATATTGTGTCCAGTTCTGGGCCCTCAGTTCAAAAAGGACAGGGACCTGCTGGAGAGAGTCCAGCGCAGGGCAACTAAGATGATTAAGGGAGTGGAGCATCTCCCTTATGAGGAAAGACTGAGGGAGCTGGGTCTCTAAGTTTGGAGAAGAGGAGATTGAGGGGTGACCTTATTAGTGTATATAAATATATAAAGGGGAGTGTCACAGGATGGAGCCAGGCTCTTCTCATGGCAAACAATGAAAGGACAAGGGGTAATGGATACAAATTGGAGCACAAGAGGTTCCACTAACCTGAGAAGAAACTTCTTCTCAGTGAGGGTGACGAACACTGGAACAGGCTGCCCAGGAGGTTGTGGATCTCCCTGGAGACATTCAACCCGCCTGGACACGTTCCTGTGTAACCTTATCTAGGTGTTCCTGCTCCGGCAGGGGGATTGGACTAGATGATCTTTTGAGGTCCCTTCCAATCTCTAACCTACTGTGATACTGTGACAGTACTACTGCTGAGCTCAAGGCATGCTTCTGGAAGAAACCTCTCAGACACTTTTACGTTCTTGCTGCCTGCTTTCACAGATCCGTCAGCCAAAACATCGCTAATGATATGAACTTTTAATTTCACAGATGAAGGAACTCGGCCTCATCGTATACAACTGTAGCTGCCTGGTCCTGGATTTACAAAGGATATTTGCCCTGTACAGTTCACTGAGATACAAGAATAAAATACCACCAAGCTGGTCTAAGAGACTATATGGAGTGTATGATACTCAAAATAAACTGACATTGCAGCTGAACGAGACAAAATCAGAAGCTTTTGTGTCGGTAAGTTCTGAAGTGAGTTGCAGAGAGGGAGGGGAGGAAAGAAAATTATTTAACCCACCAGATTTTTGGAAGGCCTAGAAATTTAACATCATCTTATTTTCCTAATATATCCTTTATGAAGAACAAAGTAGTGAGACCAGGTTAGGCAGGCATTAGCATCTACACAAGTGTTACCAAGTGTCTTTTCACTGATAAAAGAGATGATCACAGTTCCCTGCAGTAAGTCTGACATAATGCTGTGTTCTGTAAGTACCTATCAGGGACAAATTACCCTGGGAAGTAATTTCTGTGACAACAAATGTTTATGGTGTATCTTGAGCCTGTATTTAACTGTTTCTCTAAATCGGCCCTAACTGAAGAGGATGCACATTACTGCTATGTCCTTAACCAAAAGCAGCTACTGAAATTGAGATTCATGTGAGTGACTAGAAAATCAGCTACAGAGACCACTAGAGCTGTCACCTGTATAAGACAGAATTTGTTTGATAGTCTCATAATGCTGGAATAACGAATTATTCTCTTGCCTGGGACAAGCTATTCCAATAGGTATACTTTTGTGGGCAAGTCTGTAACTGACAGGTTCTGAAGAAGTTATTTGCCTTTTCTTGTGGTGCAGAACAGAAAAATCACAATAATTAATTTTTTATTCTGATTCTTTGGCATTGTTCACACAAGAAATTTGCCAGACCTGAAGGTGCTGCACGATTTCATTTGGGCACTGGTTTCTTTCCCTGTAATGTTTACCACTTGCATGCAAAAATGATAGGGGGCCCTTCAAATTAGGTTATTTGCTCTAGTAGATAGAAGGTGATTGACTTGGGAGTAAATGATCTGTTAGTCAGACATCTAAAATGATACAGAATAAGCTTGATACCCATGTACTTTGTAAAGATTAGTTATCTTCACCCTGTTCCATTGAAAGCATTCATACTTCTAGAGAACATTATCTACTTTAGCTTTATTTTTAAACTACATTTTTAATCTTCTAAAATTCAAGCAACAGTCCCCATGGAAGCACTGTCTGTGTATGTATTTTAACTGGGAAGAAATGAAGCACTCCTCCCCCTCAGCAGTGATGCAGCAAAACTGGAAAAAAAGTACACAGAGTGATAGCGATGATGAAAGATGTGAAGTGTCTTTCATTTTGGAGGAAATTACATGAGTAAACTCAGGAATATAATGAAGTTGCCAAAAGTTATTCACTCCTCTGTATAAAGCAAGGGCAAAACCCCATCACTTTATAGCCAATTCTGTCTAAACCAAGACATGTAGCACATCATTAAGTTGTACAGGCAGTAGTAGCACAGATGTTGGTGCAGATGAGTGGTTATACAGGGCAGGGTTTATCTTCACCTGCTGGGAGCCAGGCAACATTCAGCTGTCCAGGATTTTTCACACTCCTACTATCAGTTATGAGACAGAGCTGGTTTAGAGTGGAAATGTTGAAGTGCTGAAGACAGCCATAATTAATAGCCGTCTGAAAAGACACATTCTTCCATTGATTCTGGAGAGTCTTAAGGACTAGCTTAAATTAGGGACTGACTTTCAGGCAGTTAGCTAAAAAGCTGTGAAATGAAAGCCTGCTCTCTTCTTAGCAATCTGTAAGAAATGAAGAAATCCTGCTGAAAGCCAGACCTGGAGGGGCACACAGTAAGGAAAGCTGGGTACAGAGAACTTAAGGAATCTGGGATCCTAGACAAAGACAGTTGGACAGAGACTCTACAAAAACTGCTCTTCTGCAGTTGCAGAACCTTTACTTCCTCCATATAATTCGCATTTTCCTTCTGTGCGGGTAACAAAAGCCTCTTCTTGAAATTCCACTTCAGAAAAAACTACTCAGAAGCTCGATCAGTGAAGTCCAACCTCAAGAGCTACTTGTAATTTGTAGCCACAGCCAGTTGAGCTGGTTCTTCCTTCCTTGATAACAGGCTCTTCAATAAATTCCTAATCTGCTATCAAGTTCTTGATGTTTGCCAGCATGATGCTCTGAAAGGCAGTCCTGGAGTTGCAATGGACTGGTTGGGTGGACCAAGTGTTAACTGCTGTCTGTTCCTGAACTAATGAGAAGTACAAGGTCTCCACAAGCCAGGCAGTTCACTTACTGCCATCGTGGCCCTGCCTGTGCCTACCCAGAGCTGCACCATTTGCTCCTCTAAACCCACATTACCTCCCTCCCTTTTGGTCTGCCCCGTGAGCAGGGGTAAGGCAAGGTACTGCTACCCAGTGAGAATAACAGCCTGCTTTGGCAGGTGAAGAGTATCAAATGGGTATTTGATCAGAACAGCAAGTACTGCTATGGAGAAAAGTACTAAAATACTCAATGACCACAGGGGGGGTTGGCTGTTCCACTGGGTAACAAGTGGAATGCTCAAACACAAGTTGTTACAGTGAGAGCTTTAACAGAAGTTTTTCTTTTAATTATCTTCTAAAGGTCATTCACTTTCCAGTCTTTACATTGAATGCATCTGAAAAAGACAAAGCATAAGAATTCCTTTCTTCAGCTCTTCTGTAACTTTAAACTTCTATTCAAGAAAATAGTAAGAGCGTAAGAACAAAATCTCCATGCAACAGCCTAAAAGTTTCAGATAATAGACATAAATTATACTTAACAAAATCACTGTACGCTTTGTCTTGAGTTGCAGCTCATTCTTTGAAAACATATTTCACATTCAATATTTGTGCTGTATAAAACAAGAAGCACAACACACAGTCACTGATTTGTTTTTAGTTTGGTTTTTATACTCTGGAATCATGGCTTAGTGTTGCTTGGCAACACAGTCATCTCCCAGACTGGCTGATAAAACGTAAGAGGTTTTGGTTGTTTTTATTAGCGTTCAGGAATGGATCTAGAATATTAGTCTTGAAATCTTGCTACAGTTAATTTTCCAGTGTTTTTTGAACTTAGCTATAGTAAATCCTTAAGAACACCAGTCAATGATTAGGAAACCAATACGACAGACATTGTATTGAAAGATAGACAGACTGATCAGAACCCAGGATCTGTCCCTAAAGCAAACTCATCTACATCTGATGTAAACCTGATCTACATCTCAGCTACAACCCAAGCAGGTAACAAAGGTGAGGAGGTGATACAGCAGCAGGAAGGCAGTGGTCTGGCAGGTCCAGCTGTCAAGGAAAAAGGGTAAGTGGCACCTGCTGTAGCTCAATAAAGTGCCTTTAACAACTTCTACTCCCAGGAACTGTGTTGCTCCCTGCTCAGGCAGAAGAGCAGAAGGTCCTGGGCCTCTCTGCCACAGACAGGCAACTCCTGCCACCTTCACTTCCTGATACATTCAACAGCCCTAGACACAAAGCAGAAAAGCTGAAAGCTGGGCTTACCTCTTACCAGTATTAAGTTTATACCTGAAGGTAGGTTTTAAAGATCAGTTTCTTGCAAAACTGAGGCATCTCCCTGTGTCAGTGACTGAGCATGGAACTTTAAACAGAACTGACATAATAGACATAATCCCTGCTCCCAAGTGATGGATCAGGCTTGTGTGGCAAGCACACAGATATTACTCTAATAGTAACCAGTCCTGGGAGGCCATGGAACAAAATTCTCTGAAATATAACTTGAAGGAGAGTTTGATTGATGAAAATGGATGTTTTCAAGTTTGTGTCTTCCACATTTGACCCACAGTTACATCTAAATGGTGAGGCTTTCAGGGGGAAGTTAATCAAATACCTCTCCTTTGTTCCTTTGAGTATTCTAGCAAGACAGTTGAAGGTATCAGTTAATATTCTCTACTAAAATAAATGATACTACTTGCCATCTCAAGAAGAATGAGAGGAAAATAAATCACGTATTTTAAATGCCGTATTTGAAATTTTTCTTTCACAGAATTCACCTAAACTCTTCTGCCCAAAGGACAGAGTCCTGGATATTGAAGCTATATACAGTGTTATCGATGATGCAAAACAGTTTGTATACATAGCTGTGATGGACTACTTGCCGATCGTCATTGACACCAATGCTAAACGGTGAGTGTCTGTGTCCAGGACTATCAGGTTCTCCTAATGCAAATGAGGTCTGTTGAGGAAAATGAACCCACGGGGGATTAGTTACTACTGTGGGCCAATTTCCTGGGGCCCAATTCTGCTCTTATTGAAATCAGTGAGAGTTCCGCCATTGACTTAAATGGGAGCAGAACTGGGACCTAAGAAGACATTTCCAGTTCTGGGTCCTACGCTTTGGATCTGCCTTTCGAAGGAGATCAGAATTTTTCTAGTTTGACCATCTGCAAGTGACTGGGACCCAGGAATACAAGAACCTGCTTATACATGAATCCTGTCTCTTACACTATTATATTCACTATCTTGATACCACAGATGCTGGCATTTTATGAGTATCATACAGATATTCAATGAGAGAATGAGTGTGTGTTTATGTGTGTTAAGAGAGAAATAATGAGAGTTCTTGTATACAACATGGGAGATGTCATTATTTCATTGAAAAAGGCATATAAATTCCAAATTCAGCATAGATGACATTTGAATTATATGACATTTTGGTTAACTGAGAGTTGCTAAAAACAAACAAAACCAAGTAGTATTTAAATACCCTGTTTATATGGACCATAAAAAAGTACTCATGGCCCAAAACTGGAGCCACAGTGTAATAAACCATCCAACTTGGAAGGCAAATATCCAGTGGTTCCTCTGACTCTTAAGTGACACAGTAAATTGAGCATCTAGCAAAGCTCACCATTCCATCCCTGTACTTCATCTGAACAGAGTTAAGTGGAACTAAACACGTGGTTCTGTGCTTTTTTCCAGTTTTACATAATTAAATGATTAATTGTTCAAATTTGCAGAAAAATAACTATAATTTTCCCAGTAAACTTTTCACACAGCCTCTCTCACAGTGAAAGAACCATGGGAAGACCTGCAGGAATTTCATGTTCACAGTGTGCATCCCTCACATTTCTCTCTCATGTTGGAAATGATCTTACTAGAAGTGTTACAGTATTGCAGTTGATGTTATCTCCTACACTCCTTCTCCATTCTCATGCCTGAAGAATTCAGAAATCTACTGAGTTAGGGAGATCCAGGGAAAATGTGTGAATTCTTAACATTCTCCCTACAGCATGGCTTTGTGTTAGAGCCACTGCCACAGCTCCTCTACCTTGTCAGCTCCCAGTTCTCACCTGTGAGTTATTTTTTGGCATTGTAGAGCTCAGATTTCATTAGGCCGAATGCCTTGATCCTGCTGGAATAAAGAAAATGTGTTTTCTCTTGTCTCATTCTGCCTGTCCTGACCTGCTCCCACCAGTGGTCAGGAACACAAAGCTAATTAGTGATTGTGCGAATAGCACCATGGATGCCACTATTCTATTCATGGCAGAACTTCTTTAGTCCTCATCAGGAAAAAAGGTAGCATCCTCCTTAAATGACCCATCTTCATCTACTACTGAAGGATGCCAGTACCCTGCGTAGCAGCAGCTCTCCTTTTCCCAAGCAAGAAGTTACAGAAGGCATTCCAGTCCCTAGACTGTATGGACTCAGTACAGAGGAAGAAAAGTTACCCAGGGAGGGATCCAGTGTTCCTGTTTCCTTACTTGCCTAACCAACAGTAAACCCTTCTTGTCCCTCTGCCTGGACTGGGTAAGCAGCACCCTCTAGCTGTAGCTCATCCTGAGATTCTGTGGCACCATAAGAGCTCCACTGCTCTCACAGTGACAGGGAAGTAACCCTCCCCAGTACAGGCAGACAAGGTACCTGCATTTTATGCAAGTGTTCTGGCAGCTCTATGTGCCCCTACACACATGAAAGATGTGCTCAACCTCACGGCTGACAACTTTGGTGCAGGGCAGAATGACACAAAAAAGAGATGCTGGCAGATTTGTTTATAGTGAGAATCCCTTTAAATGAGAGCAGTATTCCTCCAACAGATAGAAAATGAAATTTGCATGTGTTTTGTTTTCTCTATGATGTCTAGACTTGGCAGTGTAGAAATCCAAGATATTTTTAAGTTCTCTGAATATACTGTATTCTTTCTTCACAGGTACTGGCCATATTTAGACGGGAAGATAAGAGAAGCGTTAGTATTACGAAGTATTAAAGTACGACTTCTCATAAGTTTCTCAAGAGACACAGATCCCCTTACTTTTAACTTCGTTTCATCTCTGAAAGCTATTTGCACTGAAGTTCCAAGCTGTAGTTTGAAAGTTGTAAGTATAATCCATATTGCTTTGTAATACATTTCCCTGCCCTCCAAAAACCAAGAAAACGTCACAAATGGGAGGTGTTTTCTGTTAGTATCAAAGCATTTAGATTTCATTAAATAACACAGGAAATGTAACGTAATGAACTGAATTTTTTCCTAGTAGTAACAACTACAGAAATTAAAACAACAGAATCATGCCAAAAGGCACTCTGTGTGGTAAAACACTACATCTGGTCTTTCACTGCAAAGCTAATAGAGTGAACTGTAGTCATCTCTTGTTTATACTGGCTGATATATGTGACTGCACAAAAACGTGTTTTAGTTGGGATTCATGTAATCTTACTGTTCAGCTGTGTAAGCATCTACTATTCCTTTAGTCAAGTACAAAGTACAAGAAAAAATAATGAAGATTTTACATTAAATTCAGGCTACAGATCAGAATTGTGAAAACTAGAACCACCATTATGTGACCACTTTAGACATGCAATACAGGGAATTGAGAAATACCATTTCTGTTACGTTTGTATTAGAGAAAAGAGTGTCTGGTAAGTACCAATTTAAACTTGATACAGTTCAGTTTAATGGAATTGAGGCACACAGGCAATCAGATACCTTGGATCAATTCATCATGGATGAATTTCTTTTTTTGGGGGGGGTGGTGGTTTGGTTTTGTTGTTGGTTTTTGTTTGGGTGGGGACTTTTTAATAACTGTCTTAATCTGCTGAATTATATGACTTCTTAAACTGACAATCCACTAAATCATTTTGACTTTTTAAAATCTACACTTGTTAAAACAAAGCACTATTAGTATTAGACACACAAAGTGATATTTGTGCATATCTAGAAATAGGGATTTTTGTTGTAATGTACACTGTATTACAAGCTCCCTAGGTAAGAAGCAGCATAAAGTGTAGTTTTAAGTCAAAAAGCCAATACATGGCTGACACTGCTTAAGCTACTTCAATTTTGAGTATTTTCTAGCTTGTTCTGTGTTTATCATTGGAATTCTATTTATGTATTTGAAATTATTTTTTATTTAAGTTCACCTAATGCTCTACATAATCTTATCCATTTCCATCTATCTGCAGCAGGTAGGATCTTTAGTACAGAATTTATCTCGTCAAGAACTAAATGCTAAAATTAAAAAAAAACCCAACAATTTAGACATCTCTTCTAGGTAGATATTCTACCTAGAATATCTGCAGGTAGAAAATACAAATACCACTTCCAGTAAAAAATAAGACTCCCCCAGATTTAAATAGCTGTAAAGATACAGTGCACCTCAGTGATCTCTGTGCTGCGCATCACGTGTTCCACACATTGGGTAAGTCACTGCCTTAAACAAGCCTTGGTATGAGTAATAGCCTGACACTTGGGAGTTTATGGGTATCTGCTTGATTTTGGCTGAAACTGTGAACAGGCTCTGTCATGACACTCCTTTACTTCACAAAACATACAAGAAAGATGAGTACTAGTTTTTAAAAACTCCATTTCTTTTGTATCTTGACATCTGTTCTACCTATGGTCAAAGTGAAACAAAACTGGGGTGCAGAGGAATAGGATAACAAGGTGAAAACTAAACTTAAATCTTTTGAATTACTGGAAAATTCTTCTTTTCCTCTTTGGTTCTCCTTTGGGCATGAGCAAACATAAAGTGAAACTAAACTCTGTACAGAAAATACTGTCATGCAGATGTGTTGTATGAGTTTATACACAAGAACACTGAAATATTAAGAGAAATGTAAGTTACAAATTCAAACAAAGTGCTATGAATTAGCTATGAAACCTCTTCTCCTAAGCACTAATATAATTTTAAAGCTCTAAACTCCTAAAGTAAGAATGGAAAAGACTAATAAAATGTTAGCAGGTGGTGGTGTATTGTTAACACTACTTCTGCTGAAGGCGCATGTTGGAGAATGTTAGGCTGTGTTACTTGATGCCAGTGCTGGTTCACTTGCTCAGCTAAGGTACATGTGCGTTACCGTTTTTGTGAGGGCAGATGGGTTTCCCTACTGGCATCTGTACTGTCAAGCACTAAATAGCTTCTCTGCTGTTGCAGGAGAGCACGTTACATTTTCAGTCCTCTGCTTTTCTTCCTGAATCTGAAATTTTCTCTTATAAAGTTGTAATACAAACAGAACACTAACGTATGATTTTTGCATTCAGCACATCTGCTGAATCTATTTAAATTTGACAACTCTAAGCTTATATGATTATTGTGCCTGACTATTTTCACATGAAGGTATGTAAATTTTTGTGAATTCTCCTAACACTGGGAAGATGACAACTTGTTATGTTTTGGTTTCTAGCACTGAATACTTCACCCATTTGCACATTTTACACTATTCTTTGCAATATTAGTATGTTCCTCATCCCTGTGTGAGTCCTGTCCTTGACTGTCACCCTAGCTGTCCATCTAGGGGACATCCTAAGTGTCCATCAACTGTGCATGTGTGTTCACAGACACTGTGCACACCTGTCTCCATTCCCATTTTGTGGCACCAGGAAAAACATAACCATTTTCTTCTGGCTTTATCCAGAAATTCACAACCCTTTCAGATCTCTGGCTTGCTAAGTGCCCCTACTTTCTGTGCTGGGCACATGTTTGCAGTGCAGTTTCTCAGGCACACAGTCTTGATGTTGTGAAGGAACTAATCCTTAATATCTAGTAAACCTTCCTTTACAGCTGTTAAGATGGTTTGTTCTAATTTCTTAAAAAGTGGAATGCAGTAACTGTAGTGATGGTGAAAAGCTTTGATTAAAGATACGATTTCTTTACTGTGAGGTTTGTGAGTCACTGGAACAAATTGCCAAGGGAGCCTGTGGCTGCCCCATCCGTGGTAGTGTCTCAAGGACAGGCTGGATGGAGCTTTGAGCAACCTGCTCTACTGGGAAGTGTCCCTGCCCATGGCAGGGGAGGTTGGAACTGGATGATCTTTAAGGTCCCTTCCAACCCAAACCATTCTATGGTTCTCTGATAAATCTCACTTACAGGACAGATAATACAGTTTTACATAGAATAATCTTTTTTAGTGACCTTTATAAGGCAATCACTCAAACAGTTCAGGTTGTTTAGCTTGGTTTTGAATTAAAAAAAAATAACTGTATTTGGAATTCTGCTAGTATTTGAACTCATGAAAAGCAATAAGCTGTGCAAGATAACAAGGCCATGTACAGGTAAGTAAGCATGCAGTGACATACCAGATCAAGAGACTGTTTATGGAAACAGCTTTTTCATACTCATTGTAAGTCTGTACCGTATTACCATCCAGTATCAGGGTGCGTGAAAAAAACACAAGCGCTTTTAGTTTTAATCAAGCTGATGATGTAGTCAACCACACACATCACTACATTTCAATAATGAATTTAGTATTTTACAGTTGGTCTTTCAAAGTAGCAATATTCTGAAAGACATCTCCATAACTTAAAAAGATTTGTTCCAGGTTTGTATCGAAAAGAGCACGGGTTCAAGAGATGAACTTTGCATTAAAGAAAACAGACCCCCAAGAATGATCATGGAGTTTTGGGGTGGTGTTTTTCTAATACTATTTTTTGATGTCTTGAGTGGGTGCAGTGTATAGCCCGTTACTTGTACCAGTGATATGCTGTGAAATAGGTTTGTTCTGAGCATCTACACCATCACCTCAATCACAGTTTCCCACTAATGCATTAAATATTCAATTTTCCTTCAACATGTTACTCTCTGCTTATTTTAGAATCTCTATGTATTGCTTTCCTTGATGAAACAAACAATACTTACATTTGTACTGGAAAAATCTCATTTTTGTCTGCTGCTGATGCAGACAGGAGGTACTCATAGCTCCAAAATAATCAATCAAACAAAAAAACCCTAAAAATTTAAAAAATCTTATTGGGACTTTACCCTTTAAGGTAAACCAGATACATTTTCCTCTTCTTGTCTGGAAAATTTGATCTTTCCATATCACATTTAATCCTGAGAAGTTTCTAAGTTTCTGAAATCAGCAAGTTTCCCATTGGAAACTGCAATGTGAACATAAAGATATTAATTCAGTTGTTGGTGTGCCTGCCAATCTGGATCATGAAACAGACTTCTAACCCTAATCTCCCTCAGTGATTGAGGAAATGAGCTAAAGCAAAGTTCTGGCTCTTACCATGCAAAACACAAAGATGGGGATTTTTTGGTTCAATCCACAGCCTTTACTACCTGGCACTGTTTTACTTTCAGCATGCAAGAGCCATGCACTTTGTATAGCTCAGAATACCAAGGCATAACAAATATTATAAACTATGAGAACTTACTCAGTAATAGAATGTATAGTGTTTTATTAAAATTAATGCTTGGCTATAAAAACTCAAGCTGTTCTGTAGCACTAACTCATTTTCAATAAAGAGAACAGACCATATTTTTTTTCTGTCTTATTATAGAGCAGTTCTTATTAACCTACAGTCCATTCTATTTTATGGCAGAAATTCTTTGACCTTGAGGAAGAGAATGCGTGCTTTCTTAAAGAACAGAAGAACACTTCCCTTCCCAAATTAAATCGTAACAAATACATGGTGACTGATGGAGCTGCATATATTGGTAAGTAACTGCATCTCAAGAAATTCTAGTTTGCAGTGAAAAGCCTGAAGTAACACCCATTTGTAAATGAGGAATCTACAGCTGACATGCTTAAGTAATAGTTAATTTCTTTCCTAACCTGGCTGGAAACTGAGCTTTCAGCTTCTTCTCATTTAAAAACTTCTCCCCCTTCCCCCAGGGATCAGTTTCTCAAAAGCAACAGTCTGCTTTCAGTGTTTAAAAAGAGACTGAGAACACAAATACAGCACACTTTATGAAGTAGGCATAAATTGGCATATCTACAGTCCAATGAAGACGCACTGTTCTCCACTTCCCATGTTATTACTAAAGCTGTAAATACTGTTGTACAGATGCCTTTCATCCTCACCTTCTGAAGTATTATTCCATTTAATGGCATTTCAGATACCCTCCTAACAATAGGTAACAGATTTAAATAGTAATTGGGAAGTAAGGTCTAGCAAAAGTTCATTATCCATCAAATGCTTACTGAACACAGGCTGGTAACTTATTTCCTCTTAAAAAAAATATGGCTGCTTGAGCTGTGCATGAGCTGCAGGATCAGAAAACTGCAACCGAACTGAAAGGGAACTCATGAGATTTTATAAAGCTAAGAGAGAAAAAATGCATTCTAATATGCTGCAGCTTGATGCTTTACTAGCATAATTACTCACTCTCACTGCAAAGGGCTTAAAGCCAGCAATTGCGGAGGCAACGAGTGAGGGCAAAGTCTGCAACCCAGAAGCATTCTGTCAATGCACACATAGGAGATGCAGAATCCCAAGTCATGCAGAGATAACAACCAAGAGCTACTCTGAAAAGCTCACCTTGCTGGGCTCTAAGCAGACCCATTCACCTACCCTGCTCTCAACCTGTCCAAATCTTATTTTTCACTTCCAGTAGTGTAGCTTATTCCTCTTGTCTTCCAAATGTTTTAAGTCATCATGTGTACCCCCCAATATTCTTTTTACTCTATTTTAAATTCCTTCCAATAGCCAGATCATATTTCAGTAACTTATAACCTGTCTAAACAGCACGGATTCTTAGCTGAGCTGTTTTTTTTTCTTTCCCATTGTCCTTACATACTTACATATACGTAAATGAAAGAAATACATACTGAAAGCTGTGTACAATGCAAATGTATGTTAAGGATGTGATACACCTTTTACTTGAAAGCATAGGAAGAAATGTCCCATAGGATGAGGCTTCCATTTACCATCCTTGGCAACTTTAGAATTCTTAACATTTTCTGCTGAAGTAGCTGAAATGATACTGAAATAAAATGAATAAATTTCTCAGATACCTTAATATTTATGTATGTTCAGATGTTACTTTTTTTCTCCATTTTTTTTTTCTCCAAAATAATGCATATGTTGTAAATGTACAACTTAAATAGTTCTAGTGAAATAAAGAACTGAAACACTTGGTTTACCTGTTCTCCATTAATCCAATTAACCTCTCTGCCTTGTGATCACCAGGATTTGGAATGTTCCTTTGTTACCTTAGATTCCAACAATGGCGATAATAATTGGCATAAAGCAGTAAAACCTGCTTTTCTTTCCTGAAGCAGTATCTATCAATGGGTAACTTGCATAAGATAGATCTATTGGTTTGGGTCAGCACTGCCATCTACTTTAAATTGTTTATACAGGAGAAAAGAGAAAAATCATTCTTGGCACTGAAAAGGCTGATAAGGAAAGTAGATGGTGTAATATTACACTATATGCAAACGGGAGAGCAGTTTAGTTCTGAATAAATAAAAGAACCTGGTTTCACTTCTTATGAAGGATTAGAGCTGTTAAACTTCCAGAAACTCTGCACTGCACACTGGTACGTAATGGAGTTTTTTCTTTCCCACTAGTACAGAAAACTTACTTCTGCCTGTGCCCAGGTAGGCATTGGGACAAATTATACTGTATCATGCTGGATTAGCTTTGGGGAGATCATTGTGGGGTATTTTTTGTTTTCTTTTTAGTGTCAGAAACTCATTGTAATTTCCTGCCTTTACTCGTAGGTAATTTTGATTGGGTAGGCAATGCTTTTACACAGAATGCTGGAGCTGGCCTTGTTATCAACCAAGCAGACCCGGGAAACAGCACGAGCATCATTAAGCAACTCAAGGCTGTTTTTGAAAGGGACTGGTATTCACATTATGCCAAAAGTTTACAACCAACAAAAATCCCAAACTGCTTTAATCACAAACTCAATAAAGTGACATCAAATAAGACTGCCATGAGCAATGTAAATTAGAAAAGACTATTTTACTGTTTAGTATGGCGATGAAGAAATGACACTGGGCTGTAGCCCTCTTTCTTTCATATTTACAGACAAAAGACATAAAAAGCAAAAAAAAAAGTTTGGTTGGGGGGTGTTTTTAGGAAAAAGCACACTTATATAAAAACTGTCTAAACTATATTCTCTATATTGAATTATTTAAGATTTTCAAGTTTGTAACTTCTGACACTGAATGTCCTTTCTGCTTCCACATTAATTTTAATGTTCTGTGTTTTAATTTAACAGCATGTGTCAATTTTTCTGTTTCAGTTTTAGGATTTTCCCTTATTACAAACCTGGCTAGAACAAACTGTGAGGCAAAATCAGGATTCATACTATGAAATGGCAGAATTCTAAGATCAGTTATAATTAATGGTCAAGTAGATGGCAGGTTTACTGTGTTAGAAAACATAACGGAATAAGCAAACTTTCACCATACAAATCATTCCCTTTAAATAAATAGCCAGTCACTCTAATACTTCCTTATTTGAGCATTTAGTTTGAGTATCACTCCTCCATGTCTTCAAACTAGCCTTAAAACACATGAAAGTTACATGACTGGTAATTCATTTATCATCTATCTATCTATCTCTCTATCTATCTCTCTATCTATCTCTCTATCTATCTCTCTATCTATCTCTCTATCTATCTCTCTATCTATCTCTCTATCTATCTCTCTATCTATCTATATCTATCATCATCTCCTAAATGTATGAGAAGGTGTTGAGGGATTGGGGTTGGTCTCACCAAATTCATCATAATCCCTAAAGCCTTTCAGATAAATGGATTTTTTTAATCAAAGTAATACGGATTCCTTTCTACATAATAGTTATTTCAAATGATGTATGTTTCATCTAACAAAATCTCTGGATTAATAGCAAAGACCTAGGACTGAATTATTATTTTTTTTGTAATCTCAAGGAAATGTCTTCCCCAAGTTTAATATTTATCACGTGAGAGTCAGCAGTTGCGTGACGACTCATTATCACGTTATCGTGTTTTATAGATTATGCATATATAAAAAATCAAATACAGCTTTTTAGGAAGGCCAAGGGTTATGCAAAATCATGGAATTGTTGTTAAAAGTTCACAGTCATTTTGTTGATTTTACACCTAACTTTTACTTAAAAAAAAAAAATAAAATCATGAAATGGCACTTCTTGATCAAATGTCACCCATCAGCACAAACAGAAATGTGATGCCTTTATTTAGGCCACAGTTTCAACTGGTGTTAACAGTGTGCCTCTACAAACACAACTTGGTTGCACCAAGAAGCACCTGTTCCATGAAAGTATGAATTTGCTCTTACATAAAAAATTGCATATAGATGTTTGACAATGATTTTTCTCTAGTCAGAGCTGTAATAGCTTCATTTCATAATAAAAATGTTTCATTACTATCCCTCTGGTTCTGTGGAACAAATACAGCCATAAAAGCAAACTGTGTTCTGCAGGTTTTAAAACTTTCACAGAACTTTTCGCAAAATGCACATTTTTTGCACCTGGCTGTATGTTACTGAAGGCACTCTTTGAAAGCAGAAGGAAAACCAACCATATCCCAAGGTACTACTTTAATCTTAAGAACAAGTTAAAAACTGTGACCTTCAAAACACTGGTTTCATTTACAAGGTCAAAGAAAGTTGACATTTATTTTAAAGGAAGCACAGCTTAGGAAATTCTAATGAGGTAACATACGCACAACTTCAAATTGCCAGCTTAGACACACCGCAAAACCAATTATGATCACAAAAGGCACACTTTTGACAAAGAATAATTGTTTCTTTTGCAACTGCCAAGATTTATATCATCTTACTGAAAACAGTTACATAAAAATTAAAAGTTAGTTGTCAACTTACACGGAACAGATTCTGCACAGCCCTACTGCTCAGTAACATTTTCTAATACTCATACACACACATGCTGTTTATTACCCCCCCCCAACAGAAAAGCATATACTCTTGACATTCATGTAAGAAATAAGTGAAGGAAGGATCTTTGTGAAGAGTGGTTTGTGTATTTTCTTCTTTCTGTATATAATTTAGAATACGTACAGCAGGTATGGGAGGGTGATCCCCAGCACTTATTTTACTTGGTGGGGTTTTTTTGTTTTGTTTAAGAAACAAGTATTAATACATATTGAATTCTAGTGAAAATTTCAAATGAGTTATACCACCAATGAATTTAGTCTTGAGTCAAAGCTAAAGAATACCAAATCAAACAAAAATCCACCGCACCTTTAGAAGCCAGTTATCTGTAAAGCTTCTAACACCCCCAGGCATGGGTGATCTTAAAGCCTGATATAAACTTAGTCCTCAGATAAGATACAAAAACACCCCAACAAAACAAAAAAACCCCACTGTCCAGCATTGTTAATTGTAGCACCTGATGGCAGTAACATACAGGAATGAATCAATGTATTTTTTTCCCTCTTGCATTATGGGTACTAAAAGTGTGTTAAGTGTTTTAAGACATCTTGTAACATGGAGGTAATAATGGAAGATCCAAGTGGAACGGAACTCTGTCAGATGATGAAGCTAAGCCGTCTGTTTACAAAACAGGTTTTAGTGATGAAATCAGACTGGAGTTACCACTGACCTTCTATTTAGTATACCCAATGAATGGGCCAGATGTAGTAGTCTTACTGGACAGATGCTAGGGAAATACAGTCATGAATGTTAGCCAGATGCATTAGTTTACAAATGTATTTACTGTCCTGATAAACAAATACTGGTGCTTCAATGATGCCCCCAAAAGCAATGACATGTAAAAGTACATTTTAAAGGTGCATTTTGTTGAGGTTTTATGAACAGAAAAGTTTTGGTTTTTTTTAAACAACTCTTGATGTATAATAGCAGTCAGCCATCCTACGTACAGACTGACAGACTCAAGTTTCAGATATTTTACTGTTTAGAATGGCAGCAGCTCCAAAGGAGTACAGAAGGCTCTGGTCTGATACCTTAGCCAAAAGACAAAGTGCATCCTTGGACTTCAACAAGTAAGTAGGAAATTAAAAATACCAGATTATTTTTTGAAGTTGTTTAAGGGGATTATACTCAATTATTTGTTTTGGGTTAGCACTGTTACTGTTTAACTAGATTTGCTGTAGCAGCCTTGATTTTGGCTTCAGATCTTTTTACCGTTGTAAATAAATCTGGAGCAAACCCATTGCAGTGCTTGCACATGGGCTTAGCAGGGATCAGAATCTAGACCTGCTTGCTTCCTCTTGCTTTAGCTCTCCTGTGTAACACCACTGCATGGGCTATTTCCAAATTTAAGGATCTGCATTCAGTGGTTTCTCACAGACCTCACAGGCATAATCTAAAAGATGCACTTTCTCTAATCTCCTTCTAACTGGCATTGGTAACTCTGTTGTATTAAAAGCAACTTCCTAAACAGAATGGCTTTATTCTTAAAGAATACAGACTGTAATTGTTGTTTGCTGCAAACATTTACTAGTGCCTTATTCATACAAGCTTTTGTTTAACTGCTTCTCACATGAAGTTCTGCTAAAGATGTATCTAGTATTGCGGCATACAGCAACCTTCCTGAGACTACATATTGTGTAGTCTACAGGTTAGTAATGAAAACTAGAGTCACAAAAAGACACAACCTGAATGTGAGATGTTGGTCCAAACCACAAGCACATCTAAATTTGAGCATTTTTATCCAAGCACAGTTCTACAACTGAATTTCACAAATACTCCTGTCTCCATTATCAACTAATCCACAACACATTCTGTCCTGCCACGGTGTAAAAACAGGTAAAATCTGAATTTTCCCAACACCTGGCTGATACCAAAAGCATAACCACAGATTTGCTGTAGGCACAGGATGAAGTCCAAAAATCGTGCAGTGGTTACTTTACCATTCTTCATGTTAAGTCTCAAGTTGCTTTGGGCTGGCTTACCAGTTTTCTTTCTATCTGAATCATGAATTAGTATCTACAACTACTCTCATCTTCTACTCCGAGGCCAGAAGAGCATGGATTATGTGCCATGGCACAACAGCCATAGCTGTACCCTACAAGGAATAGATCTGAAAAATAAGTTCTGCACAATACAGGGCCAAGTGTTCCTTCAAGTAAATCCAGGCTCTGTGGGTGTTAGAAACAAGTCAAAATGCCTCAGAAAGCTATTTTTAAGACATACCCATTATTCACTGTACTACTAGCTACCTAAATTCTACTTCTTCATTGAGATTTGCATACATAAAAACTGAACAACTAAGCTGTGCGTGAGTACCTGCCGTTTAACCCTAAAAAGAAACTCAGTCAAAGAATTTCTAGGGTGGGTCGTTTTTTTTTTGTGACTTTAGTGTGTACTTACTGAAAATGGAGCAGACTTTCTCATCAAGATGCTAAAGACATCAGCTGGCTACTCCAGTTCATCAAACTGAAATCCTTTATAAATATTCCCATCTTGAGTATCATGTGCTTGACTCCTGAGAATGGCCTTATAGAGTGCGCTAAGTTATCTTAAAACCATTTTGGACTTCAAAATTAATTCTTAACACAAAAATACTAACTACATGTATAGTATGTTTCCAGGTAGTAATTTCTGGCATTGTGTTTTAATTCCACTCTTAGCCCTTCTCTACGTATATATCAATGTTTTTTTAATCACTGTTAATCCAATTCAGTCTATGTAAAAAAACAAAACAAACAAACAAAAAAACACAGAATGAATCCTTGGTGTACTTAAATTCACAATAATACCTCCTGAGTTGAAGGCACCAGTAAACATATTCCACCTGTAATACTGCAGAGTATAGTAGCTCAACTGATACTGTAAGGCAATTGTTTTTCTTAGCTGTAGTTTTTCACTTTAATTACTGCTGGATGTTATTTATGAATTTCTCAGTGTTAAATCAGGTTGCTCTTGCATCATCACTTTGCACAAATGCCTTAGAAGCTTGCCAAACTAGCATGTAAAAGAAACCTCATTCAAAATAGTTTAGACAGGAAAAGAAGAACTCATACTTTACACTCTGTGGATGCTGAAGTCAGCAGATGAATTCCAGTCTTATAATACAGTGGAGCTTTCTATTGTACCTCCTGTTTTGATTAGCCCTGCACGGGCTTCAAAGAAAAAGTCTGTGAGAATTGTATGTTTGAGTAATCTTCAGATCAGGAATTTACAGAGAATCTGACTGAAGAATCCAGCTGCACTGAGCAGGTTCAACACAGTAACTCGAATTGGGTTTTTATGAAAACATATTTCTATTCTATATTCATATGCTACAACTGCGTTAACACATTAAGGTTAGGCTTTCCATAAAGTTCAAAATACACCCAGGACAAAAATCACATTATTGCGAATTACTCTGCTATAGTCAACAGAGGCAGCTCTTTTGTTCACTATGCTGCAGTTTTACAGGAAGACCTTAATAAATCATTTTAATCCACTGAAGTGAACATGGCAATTTTCCCTTTAAGAAGAAAAATAAGATTGATGGCTGATTCAGGATACAGAACAGAATATAATAAAATGGCTGACAACTGTAGCATTCCAGAGGACTGTTCTGTGCTCATTTATGTTGCATGGTGACAAACATGAATGATACAAATTACATGTATCACAACAGTGTGCATGAACACCTGTTGGGAACTGCATCTCACATAGTAATATCCATCTCTCCTGTAACAGCATAAAATGTAGTAAGGGTAGAGGGGAAGGGGCAAAAATAGCTGCAGAGGCAAACCAATTTGACAGAGTCCAGAGACTGAGTTAATGGACTGGGTGCTGGCCTAAAAGCTCTGGGCTACATTCACATCCTGTATTTCTTATGCATTCACCTTGCTTTTCTTTATACAAGTGAACACCCGTGATTGTTTTCAGAATGAGGAAGGAACCTTTGATAGCTACAAACTCAAGAGAAAGAAATCAGCATGAATAAAAGCCCATCAATTTCTATGTAGCAGATACTGAGAAGTAAAGCAGTATTTGAAATGGGGCTCTTCCTTGTAGGTTAGCACTTTCTAATGTTATATAAGCAAGGATTTACAACATAGCGCACACCTGTAAATTCCACATCACATACAGCATTTGCATATGTTCCTTGAATATACAGTCAAATCAGACTGCTACCATTCTGAACTCCTAATAAATTGGTGAAAATTAAGCAAAAGCATCACATAAACAAATTTGACAAAGTAATCAAACAAATAAAAAATTCTACACCCTCCGCCGCCCCCCAAGTGCTATTATATCAAGAAGTTCATATTACTTAGGAGCTGCAATTATTTTCAAATGTAACTTTGAGAGACTTAATGGGGATTTTAATTGGGAACGAATCTTCACACGAAAGATTAAAGGCATTGTCTTAAGCAAGACAGCATGTAACAAACTGCGCAGCTCTTCAAATTAGAGTGTGTGGAGCAACATTTTATTGACTGACTTGCTAACAGATGTTTTCAAGTGGATTTGCCCAGTATACAATTACTTCACATTATTCCTTTTTTGTAATTCTTCAAATAACACTGTACCTGTATTCAATGTTTTTCTTGAAATCTGACAGAAAAGCAGGAGGCTTCTAGAAGTGACAGCTGTTTGTTTCTAAATGTCACAGAGCTGTTCTGCTCTCACTTGTCCTCTCACTGTCTCCTGCTTCTTCAGCCACCCAGTTGAGGTTTTCACTTGTCACTTCCTGCCAAGCAAAGAAAACAAAATATTTTTAGTTATCTGCTGCTTCTGAAAACTGCTGGCTGCTCAGCATGCTTTTGTCCTTTGAGCGATTCCCCACCTAATGTGATACTAGAGAAAGCATAATAAAGGAGGTCAAACACAGAATTCCAGCGTCCTCATATAGTTCCCCACCTGGAAAGACACATGCAAAATCTGGAAGAAAAAGAAGGTGGGTGGTGGGGAAGATGTCTGGCAAACTTCACATGAGGTAGAGGTTCTTCTGGTGGCTTCATTTTAATCTTGTGTAAGCCACTGTTTACCATACCACCAGATTTGTAATGACTAAAATGTGCAGCTAACTTTGGCGTGAAAGGGTGAGAAGTCAAATACACCTTGTCTTGAGGAACTGAATCGATTTCTTCACTTTCTAAGAAGGGTGAAAGAGGCAGGTAAAAATGGAGAATTAGTTGTCTCATTTATTCAAGGAATAGCCCAGGCTGCTACTAGAAATAGAGCTGATGATAAAAGTTTCAAAATGAAAAGCAAAGATCTTACACATCCAACTTCTATCAGTTCTTAAAAGGTGGTGCACAGCTGACATACCTGTGGGAACTCAGGGCTCAGAGCTTAGTGCTAACTAACTTCTTTGTGGCAAACTGTCAGGTTTCTCAGGAGACCTCCTTTTCCTCTGTCTCACTATACTCAATACAGCTGTGACATCTGCTTTTAACAAGCTCCAGATTCTTCAAACTAGATTATAAAAATCTCTAGACTGTTATATCTTCAAACTAGATAATAACAGATTTCCAGATTAGATTATAACAATTTTCCCTGTGCAAAGAAAAAACGAATGACAAATTCAGTGAAGGACTCAAAGAACCTAGTACAAATATTAAAATGCATAAGAAATCAGGGCCAAAACCAGAACACACTCTCATTTTTGCCAATGTTAATTAAAAAAGAATTGGAAAAAGAATAAGAGGCCAGTGCAGTGCCCTGGATTAATTAAGTGGGAATTTATAAACCAAAACACTTATGTTTGTGGACAGTCCCCACATCTAAACTGCTGTGAACCACTAGTTTGATACGTGGTACAAAGGTTTCAGCATTCAAAGTCTAGTATCAGGTACACAGCCTAAATGGCAGGCGAAAAAAGGGGTTCTGTATTTACAGAGAACCTACTGCCAAATAATCATTAAAAAAATAAAACAATCACTTCTCACAGCATTTATGTCTTCAGATGTCAACACACAGGTCACAGTGAACAAATCTGGAGAAAGACAGGAAAGCAAAATCTGTGGCAGCAAGCAAGCCAACTGAAATAACCTTTAAGCCCATTTTCCAAGTGCCAGTTAATAGAATAAAAGCACTCAGATGTCCCTGTCTCAGATTCCAAATAGCCTTGTATCAGATTCCAAACAAGAGCTGAAGGTCCCCACACACATGCACGGAGACACATCCTCAAAGGAAAAATTAGCATCTGTGCCAGAAGAGCTTGGAACATGTCTAGTACAATGACTTGCTCCACTGCTGTCTTACTGACAGCAAATAGTACAGCTCTTTCTAGAAAGGGCCACATACCATTTATTAGAATACAGGAATATGCCCATATAAAGGAACTTGGAATAATGAACCACACCTGGCCCACAGCACAGTAATCAATGTAACCATAGCACATACCAAAGCCATCTACTTACCTTTTCATTCCCACATTACACATGTGCCAAAGCTCACTTTTTATAAACAAAGGGCAACGTTTCTCTCTGAACTAAACATTCCAGAGAGGATTATACCTTTTTCTTTGAAAAAAAAAAAAAAAACAAAAACAGAGAAAACAGCAACCACTGCCCCAATACTCTTCCCTTTCCTCACTCCACTTTTTCATTGGCAAATGTTTCCTCTATCTCCCCTTCTGTCTCGTCTTTTCCCTTTTCAAGCTATTTACTACATGGTGTTTCTGAATCCCCTGAAAGCCTTGCATAAATAACGTATGCGTTGCCTCCAGGTGTTTTGCTCGCTGTTGTCCTGGAGTCATACACCAGGTTAACCTGCCAAGCTAGGCAATAACAACCAACTCAGAACCACAGACAACTTCAAGCCACATGACCTCAACTTTACCCTCCAGGTGGCATTCAGCCACAGAGGGGGTCTAAGCTGGGTACTGTCATCTTGACAGTTAAAGTGTTCCAAGCTCACCACTGTACCCAACACCACTTTCTTCAACAGAAGAAAGAAGACCTCTCTGCAAATGTATTTTAAATCTCAGAGTGTGCTGTTGGCACTGCATTGTGTTCCCTACACAACCTAGAAGTAGCAGAATTTCTTTGTAAAGTTTGCAGAGCAAAAAGGATATATACTAGTTAGTTTTACTACTATACCTCTTCTGATGGAATAAAATATCAAATAGAAAAAAAAATCTGTCTAAACTTATTTTGAAAACTGCATGGCCAGCTTATGCAGTAGCTAGATATGTGGCAAGGTGGCAGTGTTACTCTCTAAGGAGAATAAAATAAATACGCTTATATATTTTGTTCAATTCAAGCACTGCGTAGTCTCCAAGTTCTGCTATGGGAAGTATGAGTAACTTCTCATTATCCTTCCTATTTCAAAACACAGTATTTATCACAGATGTGTACCATACAGCAGCACAGCTTAGGCCTGTTATATAGGTCAGTATCTGCAATGCACACCAGAACATAGTTTGCCACTGCAAAGGAGAGTGGCTGCAAAATCTATTTTGGATAATCCGATTTGTATTTGAGGAAATCAATGTGTGGTCATTTCTAGAACTGTGAATATAAGGCAACTGCTGCATGCTTGTATATTTGATGAGTTTTATTATACTATATCCTCATATGAATGCCTATGCAGTGTAAATGCTTTAATATAAGATAGTGGTTTTTTACACATTATTTTCTATATGATGCTACATTTTCCTGCATGTTTATCCAATTTTTGTGTTGGTATAAAGTGCAAGCAGGAAGACACATGATTTTAGTAACATACATAGCAGCTATTCAAATCCATTCTAAAAACACATTCTTACTTAAGACTTAATTTGGCAAGAAATGTGGCTTCCTTTTGACAACGGGCTTGGTTCACAGGACTACCCGTGTAACTCATTTTTACTTAAAAAACAAAACAAAACCAACCAAAACCCTGAGTCTGTAAATGGGGCTATTGACTCAAACCACAATATCCGTATGATTTGACACCTTTGAAAACATAACTCATCTGCTTTTACTAGGAAAACAGATGACCTGTACTGATTCAAACAGAAAAACAGTGCTCAAAACTGAGCAGCTGTTGTGTTTGGTGCTGCAGGATGACAATGTAGCAATCTTTTTTTTATTTTTTATTTAAACAATACTTTCTCATACTTAATACAATGAGTTCATGTTATTTGACTGTGAACTGGGCCCACTGTTTACCGTGTTATTATCCATAACCAAAGTTCAAGGTTAACAGAACTGAGGTTGACTTTCGTTTTGGAGAGGTGGCTTGGCACAGCCAAATGCACATGCTGTTCCAGTGCATTTTAAACACAGGGTAACCACTGGCTGAAAGACTGATGACTAAGCATTGTCAGTTCTATCTTGCACTGCTGGAAACTAAGTTAATGATGTAACACTAAATCAAGAAAGTAATGTATTAAAGCTATGTAAATATTTTTATTTATCAATGCTGCAGCATCATAAGATATCATTTTTCACTGCTTTGATATCCAAGGATTCCTAGTACTACACGAATGTATTTTCATCTGATTCATCTTTCAGTACTTACATTCAAAGCAAAGTAACTTCTATTTCTTTGTACACCACTGAAATAAAAAGAATCTTGTTTCAGTACATAATGCTTTTGTTATTCTTTTTGGTCTGCCTCTGTCAGTGCTTGCTGCCATGAGCGCTGTATCACAGACACTAGCCCCTAACTCTCAGTCTTCTGCACATACACATACTGAAGGTGTACCCAGCAATACAGGCAGACTACCTGGTGCCTCCAGTGAAGGCCCTGCAGAGTGTGAGCAGCTCTGGCGCTGAATGACTGTGAGCATCTAGTCAACTTCACAACTACTAGAACACAACATATAACCTGCATTCCTGTTTTATCCTTCAGGCACATTAAGCGTAAATCCCACTTTCAGGCACATCAGTCTCTATCACACAGGCTATATCCATCCTGCGTGAACATTGAACACTCTCAGGCTATAAAGCAGTCTTTTGTCTGTATTTGTAATTAAGACAGGGGCACGGTACAAGCTTGAACAGTACGTAGTATCATCCGAGTTGTTACCACAACTGTCCTTCATGTTGGCCCACAACAACTAGCACTCTCCCAGACAATGCCCAGCTGCAGCATTACAGGACAAGATGACTTAACAACTGTTTTCAATGCAGTCTCACCACAGCTACCTTGTAGGGAAAGAGGAAAATGACAGGTAAGGCAGTTGGATGTCAATCACACTGTGTCACTTAGCTGTACAGCCAAGGAATTACTCCTGGCTTCTTTTGGGGTTTAGATACAACTATTCACACCCCTACAGTTATCACACTCCAAATCTGAACCTTAGCTGCAAGCCCTGGTGTCAGACAAAAGCGGTGTTCTCCAGGATGCAGTTTACCTGTGAACACTTCAACCCAAACAGGGAACTAGATCTATCTCTGAATTTCCAATTCTCCCTTGACTGAACAAGACCAACTGAAATTGGAAATACTGTCCTATTAATCAGACCAGAGAAAACAGTATTTATCAAAGCAGATCTTGTAATACTAGGAGAAAAATAAAAAACAACAACCCCCCCAAAAAAAAAACAAAACCAAAACACAAAAAACACACTAACAAAGCAAACTAAAGGAAAATAGAAGACAGAGAGCTTACCAGCATCTGTCAAATTCTAGTGAATAATTAAAAACTGCCTAATTGAGCTCTGCCAAGATGAAGGCCATAAAGCCTCATTCAGCACTTCAACCCCAACCTTTTCTTGGGGTTACAGGCAAGAGGCAAAGCAGACACATGTAATAAAAAACATTTTATGTATGATAATAAAATTGAAGCACATGAAGCCTGACTAATTCAGTGGCCTTCTACAATGGAGGGACTGCATCAGTGGACACAGGAGAACTACAGATATCATCTACATGGACTTCTGTATAGCCCTTAATATAGTCCTCCACAACATTCTTGCCACTAAACTGTAAGGATACCAGTTTGATTGATGACTGCGAGATGGATAAGGAATTGCTGGGTGGTCATGTCCGAAGAGTTACAATGGATCAAGTGGCCCTGCCGAAAAGGACTTGGGGATACTGGTGGATGAAAAATTGGGCATTAACAGGCAACTTGCTCCTGCAGCCCAGAAAGCTAACTGTAACCTGGACTACATCAAAATAATTTATGACACAGACACCAAGACGCTGGAACAGGCTGCTCAGAGAAGCTGTGGTTGCCAACTGCTTGAGGACAGGTCTTCGAGCAACTTAGTGAGACATCTCACTGCCCATGGCAAGAGGCTGATCTGAATGATCTTTAAAGGTCCCTTCCAAATGATTCTAAGGATTCTGTGATTCTAAGATGCTGCAGTAAGTTACCTCAGTAGCTCAGGTTATCAGCTGATACCAATAAAGGAAACCGTCGCATGGCTTAGAGTCTTGCTTTCTTTCTTGTACACTATACAACTTATCTGAAAGTAGCTGCTTCTGTAACACAGTAGTGATACAGTTTCTACATTAACAAGTAAGTAAGCTTGTACAAAATAATTCCTAGCCTACAAAACCACAAATGGCTAGACTGACTTTTGACACAGGCAAGACAAATGAAGCATAAAAACACTCTACAGAATAATTTATTATTTGGGCATTTGCATAGAATGATTTAAAAGGAAGAACAGTTTCTTCTCCCTTCATGTTTATGACCAGCTCTCATTATTAAAGAATACAGAGGCTTGTTGGCGTGTTCCACCTCAGACTATGCATGTGTCTCTTCTCCCCCTAATGTTTTCAGTTCCAATGCCCCACTTCTGTTTTTTTTATCTCAATCCCCAAGTAGTCTACTCTGGATATAGCTGTTAAATGATAGCACAGCCTGAGCTAATGTATGCATTTACGGCCTAGAATTTTATTTGCTGTTCTAACTCAATATGAAATCAGGTTAAAGCCTCCCACCTGATCTGAACTACAGTACAGGCTTTGAAAGCTTAACATACAAAAGTTAAAAGATGTGTAACATGGAATAGCCCAGGTCCCCTCACATGTCCCAAGAAGAAAGTTACAGAAATAATGACAATACTAAAGACCCTCATGCTTCAGAGAGAAAAACTCTTCCCACAAAGAGCTGCTGTTGTGGATAAAGCAGCCTACCACAAAGGACAGAAGGGATACATGCAGAGAGGTGTAAAAATGTTGGCTATGGAAATGAGTGTTGTGTAACAGCCTAGTATTCTTTCCACCAAAGTATGGGCTACACAGACTACAGAAAACAAACTAGGGACTGACGCAAACCAGCAAGTAAGATGACTCCAAACATTTCAATACTTGAGATAAGCATTATGTTATTTGGAGGATCCTGTAAGTAAATTCTAAGGTGTCCATAGCTTATTACAGTAATCTATTTCAAGTAAGCACCCTTTTCCTTAGCAGAAAGCTGCAACTCCCAATTCTAACAAGAATAATCAACAGCCAATACTTACCCAGACCCCTATGACTTGTGCAACACAACCCTCTCTGAGTAGACTCAAATATGAGTAGACTCAAATTAAGATCCTAGTTGGAATCTGGGAAAGCAGGCACTACCCTGGATTTCTCATTTCCTGGAAGCCTGCCACAGTCACTGGGATTTTCTGTTGCTTTCACATTCTCTTAAGAATACATGAGTCCTAAACAAAAGAACTAAACAAAGTCCTAAACAAATCCCCCTCCAACTTCCATCTAAAAAACTTCTAACCAGGTCTACTGCTAAGTAATTAGCTCTACGGAGATAAACTCATGTTCCCTGCAGTTTGAAAATGAGAAGAATAAGCAGCAGATAACATTTAAACAGAAAATGTAGACTGACAGGAGATGAGAGAAAGTAGAAACTCCAAAGATAACCACTGCTCTCAGTAGTATGCTGGTTTATGTTTTAGCAGAAAGCCAGCTTCTAATTGCAAGGTCACAAAGAGGTAAGCAATACCTGGCCAGACTTTGCCCCACACTGTTCCACAATACAATGATTGACAGATTTCTTCACTAAATACCACAGAAGTGATGAATTCAGAACAAGGAGGAAGAACCAATTCTTGCGCAGAGAAACTTTACCTTTACTCCAAAGCTACTTATGTCCCCCTTTTATTCTGTCAGGGCATCTCACTTTCACACTTCCCATGTTTTCGGCAAGACAATTATTCTACTCTATTATTGGATTAGTGCCCATTTCCACAGAAACTATACAATTAATACCAAAAATCTGCATCCGGAAACTCAATATTCTTTTTGCATATGCAGCTTCCTATCATATGAAGTTGGAAAAATCTTAGTCCTATTTACAGACAATAAGCAACTCTAACTGCTTACTGAGAAGACTAAAAAACCTTCAGTCCCAGTAGCTGAAAAGAAACCAGCTGCAGACCACTACCATTAGACTGATTTACTGAGCAGGAACAGATTTTATCCCATTCCCTGCCTTTGACAGCATCCAACAGGGTCTGTGCGCCAGTGGAATGAGATGATGCTGGTGGCGTTAATGGGTCCCCTTTCCACTCAGAATCACATGCAATAAGGTATAATAAACAACTGCTTTCTTACAAGACTGCCTAGGCATAAACAGGCTCCATTTCAAGTATAACTTCCAATATTAGGATACATCCTTTTCAGGCTTTATTTCCATATCCAAAGCAGCACATACCTTTTATCAGTTAAAGCAGGACACTCATCCCGAAAGGTACTGACATCTCCAACTCAGAATTTTGCAGTTCCCTCCAGAAGGGGAGCCCTTGGCTAACCTCTGATTCATTTTTTAATATCAGTATTTATTTTTCCCATATGTGCTCAAGTAATACACTAAACTGAAAGAAACGAGCAAGTGACAGTATATGTAGCTGAGTGCAACAGCAAATCAGCTACAATATGCTTCTGGACTTAGCTATCACCTTTGGCATCAAGTGACATTTTAATAAAAAAATTAAATGAAATGAAATAAAATACAATAAATAAAATCGCAAAAAAACAACAACACAACACCACCACCACCACCGCCGCCACAAACAACAAAACAACCCCACAAAAAACAACAAAAATTACAACAAAAAATCTACAACAAAAAGCCGTTTTCTTTCACATACTGGTTTCTTAACAACATGCTCTTTAAGGTAGCAGAAGGGCATAACATGCCAACAGCATGCTGAGACAGTCAGTCACTGGTGAAATGACTCCTGAACTGTGTATACCTATTGCCCAAACACAAACTCTGGTCCACTTACAGAACCCTGCTAAATACAGCCCAGGTTTTAACCTGCTTCTTCAGGCTAAAGTAATCCAGGTCAACAAACTGTACATATGCTTCAGCAAGAGAGCCAGAAAAACACTCAGGTGTTTCGCTCATTGCAATAAATCTTCCAAATCATTTCATTCTACCGTCTCACAACTGATGGTGAAAATGCTCATAATATGATGCACAGGAAGACTGAAAGAGTGCAAAGACATCACTGAACAGCAATAACCTACTTTCACAGGGCTCCCACATCTCAACTTTTTTCTTTGAGCAAAGTTCTATTTGCAGACAGAGGAGGGGGAGACTTCTTGATATCCCTGTTCAGCCTGCAGTTTAAAATACTTTGAGGATATATATGCTAGATAATGCAAAGATGAAACCACAAATCATAGTTCAGTACCAAAGCATTATGTTCCAGTCATTACCCTGTATCCTATTTATGGCTATAGCTAGTATCAAACCAGTATGGCGGTTAAGTCCTTAAATGGATTTTACTGTTGGTGTAATATAATAGTCCCAAAGACTATGTTCGGAATACTAACACATTTCAAAGGGGTTTATGAGCTACCAGAAAGGTCACATCTCCTGTAGCAGAACCAGCTTAATGAGCTCATTTTAAGGACTTATAAATGCTTAAAGCATCTCAGCTCATGTAGAACTATCATAACAGTAGTCAAGACTATCTGCAGGGCCATGCTCAAAAGTTACAGACCTCATCGTACAACCTAATTTCTAACCAAAAGTGCCATTTAAATCAATGGGATAATTCCAGGCAGCACCAAAGGGTAAGCAAATTAATTTCTGTTTATACTGATACAAACTTTCAAAGAGTTGAAAACACTCAACATTTTAGGATGGCCCTTTCAAAATGGACACTGGTTATATTAGCAGCACAGCAAACACTTTATAGACAAGTAAAGCAGCAAAGTCTATACCCAGTGATTTTTCAGTCT